TTTTTTTTTCGCTAGGTCGGACAACCCTTGTCCAGTCCGAGACCGTCCGACGTCTGACCAGACGTCCGGTCGGACAACCCAGGGGTCCCGGACGTCCGGTAAAACAACCTAGCCTCAATCATAATTTCTACCCTTTCCCTCATGCCTTCCATCCGTGCGAATGCGCCTTTCCGTGCGCTTTCTTCAAACTTCAGCGACCAGGTTGCCAGCTTACCCTTGGGAGGGTCCCCTCCAGTTCCGAGGAGTCGGAGGAGTTCTCCGCGACCAGTCACCGGATCCTCTATATCTACCATATACGTGCCATCATGCAGGTGCATGCCAATCATTTCTACATTGGCGCACCATGGTCTCCCAAGAATTATGTCATGGTCCATTTCTTCCATGACGGTCATCCGTTGGAAAGACCAGATGGATTCTCGAATTCCTTCCCTGATCGCGCATTTGGTGACATACCCAGTGAAGGGAATTTCTCCGCCCGCTCCCCTGATACTCCCTACTACCTCCTTGTTCACTGTGCACCCCGTGATTGTCGCAAAATCCCGTCGTATGAGGGTAATTTCCGCGCCGTCATCCACCAATTCATCGGTGTGGTGAGTTCCGACCTGGACTTTAAGTTTTCCTACAGGCAGTGCGTGGAAGCTAAGTTTAGTGCCAGGCGGCGCTCTCATGACTTCGCCACCATCTCGGTCCGGCAGATTCGGACGAACTTCAGCAAAAGTTTTTTCCAAATCTTCTAGGCCCCCTGGAATGCTTTGGAGGTTAGAGACTCCTTGTGGCGTCTCGGCCTCCTCGGGTCCTTGTTCCTGTGGTTCCGGAGCCTCCTCTACTTCTACACGTTTACGCGTCAATAGCTGTCTGAGGCCCTTGAGTAGTCTCGGGTTTGCCTGCAACATGGTCTGGAAGGATACCGGCACCATGGTGCCCTGGAGTTTGCTCAGAGTGTCATCTAATTCGGGCAGTGTCAGAATCGGGATCTGGTACCTTAACTTCTTATTTGCCGTCGTGGCTTTCTCTACCTGTTTCTCTTCCCTCGTTTTCCCATAGACCTTCTCCTGTTCCCTGACCTCAGCTTCCTCCTGATCTGCACTAGCACCCGCGGCTTCTTCCATTACTGTGTCTCGGATGAGCTTTTTTTCCGCGCCAGCCCGTCGGGGAGTAATATTAACCCTATCCTGCCCATTACCTTCCAGGATGAAGTTGACCTGGGGCCCGCGACCCCTTGGTTGGTCCCAGACAAGCTCCGCTACCTGTTCTGCTTCTACGGCAGCTGTATCCAAGTTATTCAGGAGGATGACGGCACGCCTCATTCCTCCTGGCGAATTCCAGTTTACTCGCTCTTCCTGAGGTTCGAGAATCTCACCTTTGAGGGACCTACTGCACCTCTGTCTAATGATGTCGTGGTGAAGTCTCGGACAGGTCCTCACGAAATGCCCGACCATTGTACAATATTTGCATTGTTCATTGGCCGGGTCCCTTCTGGGGAAACCTCGATTGGCTACTGGTGCCGGTATTACGGCTTATTGGGGCGGGAGGGCGGGTCGGGACATCTGTGCCTGCATTACTAGTCGCGCATTTTCCATTCTGTCCATCTTGCTGTCAACCCCATGCACCCTTCATGCAGAATCTCTATTCCCTTTTTGACCTTATCCCCCGTCTTCCCGGTCAGGTCTATAACCTCCCTTTCCTTAAGCAGGGCCAAGGCCTCAGTTACCACTGTCTTCTCTGCAAGATCTGTTACCGTACTGAAAAATACATCCCTTGTGTATTCAAACTTGCTGGTCTGCTGGTATGCTGACAAAATCTTATCCTTATCAAACTCGGAGAACTGCCTGAGAAAGTATTTACTCATTATGCGGTCCGTTACCCTGGGAATTCGCAGAGTCACTAACGTAAACGCCCTTAGGAAATCGTTGTAAGTCGCATAGTTTTTCCTTTGGACTGCTGCTAATTCGACCTCGGTTGCCATTCTCTCTGCCTTCAGTTATTTCCTCATCATCTCGTTCCTGGTTTCCTTCCAAGATCCACTAGAGGCGACGATGGCCATAATGTCCCTTCCCAAGCTTAGCGACACGTGCTGCCCTAGGTGATCCATCTTTTCCTCTTCCGTCCATTTCAGTAAGGCTGCTAGGTTCTCATAGTCTATCAGAAACTCCGTAATGTTTTCCCCATCGAACGTGAGTTTCTTCTTTGCATCTGCGAGATACCCCTGGTTCTTGTTTAGTGCCCGGGTGAGGGTGGGTGGTCGGCTATGGTGGATGGGCGCAGGTGTCGGAGGAAGGAGACTTAAGGTGGGAGAATAATGGTGAAAATGAAGAGAGGACAGGTGCAAAGCGATCCTTAGCCCGTGTTGCTCCCTAATCAAGCGCCCGGCTCACCGCCAGCCACGGCCCCTAATCCCGGAACCAGGCCACCCTACCATACATTACTTCTCCGAGGTTACCCATCACAACAAAAGTGAGAAGAATCCGAACCGAACTACCGGGACTGCAGCGCACACACAAATGCATACATCGCATGTAACCGGTTACAGCAAAGGTGAGACGGGATTGGACTGAACCAGCGAAACTGCAGCACACACACACATACACATACACACTTCACATGTCGCCGGTTACAACAAAGGTGAGAAGGGACTTGTACTTAACCACCCGGACTGCAGCACACACACACATACACACATACATACTTCACATGTCACCGGTTACAACAAAAGTGAGAAGCGACTTGTACTGAACCACCCGGACTGCAGCACTCGCACACATACACACATACACACTTCACATGTCACCGGTTACAGCAAGGGTAAGAGGGACTGCACTGAACCACCCGGACTGCAGCACACACACACATACGCTTATACACACTTCACATGTCACCGGTTACAGCAAGGGTAAGAAGGGACTGCACTGAACCACCCGGACTGCAGCACACACACACATACACACAAACACACTTCCCATGTCACCGGTTACAGCAAGAATGAGAAAGGACTGCACTGAACCACCCAGACTGCAGCACACACACACATACACACATACACACATACACACTTCACATGTCAACGGTTACAACAAACGTGAGAAAGGACCGAACTGAACTACCCGGACTGCAGCACACACACACACACAAACGCACACACACATACACATACACATGTCACCAGTTACGGCAAGGGTGAGAAGGGACAGCACTGAACCACCCGGACTGCAGCACACACACACATACACACAAACACTTTTCCAAGGTCACCGGTTACAGCAAGAATGAGAAAGGACTGCACTGAACCACCCGAACAGCAGCACACACACGCATACACACACACACACATACACATGTCACCGGTTATGGCAAGGGTGAGGAGAGACTGCACTGAACCACCTGGACTGCAACACACACACACATACACATGTACACACTTCACATGTCACCTATACAACAAATGTGAGAAAGGACTGAACTGAACTACCCGGACTGCAGCACACACACACATCCACACATATACACTTCACATGTCACCGGTTACAGCAAGGGTGAGGAGGGACTGCACTGAACCACCCGGATTGCAGCACACACACACATACACACATACACACTAGTTACAACCAAATAACAAGATTTGAGTACTTTACAATAGGCGGAAACCATAGCGGCAAATCGTGGAACACCTCGCCACACACACACACACACTAATGACAGCCAAGAGACAAGATTAAAAGCAATCTACCTACAGGAGATTTCGCCGTAGTATCCCGGAATGAATCGCAACACACACAAGCATCAAGGACAGCCAAAAGATAAGATTGAGAGCATCTACACAAGAGGGAAGTTCACCGAAGTATCCCGGAATAAATCACAACACACACAAGCATCAAGGACAACCAGAAGATGAGTTTGGAAGCAATCTAGCAAGAGGAAAGTTCACCGAAGTATCCCGGAATGAATCGTAACACATACAAGCATCAAAGTCAACCAAAAGATGAGTTTGGAAGCATTCTAGTAAAGGGAAAGTTCACCGTAGTATCCCAGAATGAATCACAACATATACATGCATCAAACAGAGCCAAAAGATGAGATTGGAAACAATTTAACAAAAGGAAAATTCACGGAAGTATCCCGGAATGAATCGCAACACATACAAGCATCAAAGACAGCCAAAAGACGAGTTTGGAAGCAATCTAGCGATGAGAAAGTTCACCGAAGTGTCCCGGAATGAATCGCAACATATACACGCATCAAAGATAGCCAAAAGATGAGTTTGGAAGCAATGAAGGAAGAGGAAAGTTCACCGAAATATCCCGGAATGAATCGCAACACATACAAGCAACAAGTTCATCCAGACGATGAGATTGGAAGCAATCTAACAAGAGGAATGTTCCCCGAAGTATCCTGGAATGAATCACAATACATACAAGCATCAAAGACAACCAAAAGATGAGTTTGGAAGCAATCTAGCAAGGGAAAAGTTCACCGAAGTATCCCGGAATAAATCGCAACATATACAAGCATCAAAGACAACCAAAAGATGAGTTTGGAAGCAATCAAGCAACAGGAAAGTTCACCGAAATATCTCGGAATGAATCGCAACACATACAAGCATCAAAGACAAGCAAAATGTGAGATTGGAAGCAATCTAGCGAGCGGAAAGTTCACCAAAGTATCCCAGAATGAATCGCAACACATACAAGCATCAAAGACAACCAAAAGATGAAATTGGAAGCAATCTAGCAAGAGGAAAGTTCACCGAATTATCTCGGAATGAATCGCAACATATACAAGCATCAAAGACAGCCAAAAGATGAGTTTGGAAGCAATCTAGCAAGAGAAGTTCACGGAAATATCCAGGAATGAATCGTAAAACATACAAGCATCAAAGACAGTCAAAAGATGAGATTTCTAACGAGAGGAAAGTTCACCGAAGTATCCCGGAATGAATCGCAACACTTACAAGCATCAAAGACAGCCTAAAGATGAGATTGGAAGCAATCTTATAAGAGGAATGTTCACCGAAGTATCCCAGAATGAATTGCAACACATACAAGCATCAAAGATAGTTAAAAGATGAGATTGGAAGCAATCTAACAAGAGGTTCACCGAAGTATCCCGGAATGAGTCGCAACACATACAAGCTTCAAAGACAGCCAAAAGATGAGTTTGGAAGCAATCTGGCAACGGGAAAGTTCACCGAAGTATCCCGGAATGAATCGCAACACATACAAACATCAAGTTCAGCCAGAAGATGAGATTGAAAGTAATCTAACAAGAGGAAAGTTCACCGAAGTATCCCGGAATGAATCGCAACACATACAAGCATCGAAGAGATCCAAAAGATGAGATTGGAAGCAATCTAACAAGAGAAAAGTTCCCTGAAGTATCCCGGAATGAATCGTAACGCATACAAGCATCAAAGACAATTAAAAGATAAGTTTTGAAACAATCTAGCTAGGGGAAAGTTCACCGAAGTATCCCGGAATGAATCGCAACATATACAAGCATCAACGACATCCAAAAGATGAGTTTGAAAGCAATCTAGCAAGAGGAAAGTTTCACCGAAATATCCCGGAATGAATCGCAACACATGCAAGCATCAAAGACAGCAAAAATATGAGATTGGAAGCAATCTAGCAAGATGAAAGTTCACTGAAATATCCCGGAATGAATCGCAACACATACAAGCATCAAAGACAACCTAAAGATGAGATTGGAAGCAATCTAGCAAGGGGAAAGTTCACCGAAGTATCCCGGAATGAATCGCAACACATACAAGCATAAAAGACAAACCAAAACATGAAATTGGAAGCAATCTAGCAAGAGGAAAGTTCACCGAAGTATCCCGGAATGAATCGCAACATATACAAGCATCAAAGATAGCCAAAAGATGAGTTTGTAAGCAATTTAGCAAGAGGAAAGTTTTACCGAAATATCCCGGAATGAATCGCAACACATACAAGCATCAAAGACAGCCAAAAGATGACATTGGAAGTGAATCTAGCAAGGGGAAAGTTCACCAAAGTATCCCGGAATGAATCGCAACACATATGAGCATCAAAGACAGGCAAACGATGAGATTGGAAGCAATATAGCAAGAGGAAAGTTCACCAAAGTATCCCGGAATGAATCGCAACATATACAAACATCAGAGATAGCCAAAAAATGAGTTTGGAAGCAATCTAGTAAGAGGAAAGTTCACCGAAATATCTCAGAATGAATCGCAACACATACAAGCATCAAAGACAGCCAAGAGGTGAGATTGGAAGCAATCTAGCAAGAGGAAAGTTCACCGAAGTATCCCGGAATGAATCGCAACATATACAAGCATCAAAGACAACAAAAGATGAATTTGGAAACAATCTAGCAAGAGGAAAGTTCATCGAAATATCCTCGAATGAATCGCAACACATACAAGCATCAAAGACAGCCAAAAGAGGAGATTGGAAACAATCTAGCAAGGGGAAAGTTCACCGAAGTATTCCGGAATGAATCGCAACACATACAAGCATCAAAGACAACCAGAAGCTGAGATTGAAAGCAATCTAGCAAGAGGAAAGTTCACCGAAGTATCTCGGAATGAATCGCAACATATACAACCATCAAAGACATCCAAAAGATGAGTTTGGAAGCAATCTAGCAAGAGGAAAGTTCACTTAAATATCCCGGAATGAATCGCAACGCATACAAGCATCAAAGACAGCCAAAATGTGAGATTGGAAGTAATCTAGCAAGGGGAGAGTTTACCGAAGTATCCCGGAACGAATCGCAAGACACACAGGCATCAAAATCAGTATAAATCACAGTTTTTGAAAGGTGGTCTAAGCTAGGGGAAGGAGAAGAAGATGAAGAAGGAGGGGGAGAAGAAGGAG